ATTACATTTTTTATTATTTTTCATTTAATTTCAATTAATTTAAATTGTTTTTTTATTTTTATTTTTGAGTACAATCACTATTACACAATACAATTTTGCATACTAATTTTCGTATACTATGTACTGTTATTTAACGAATAACAGCACTTTTTAGCGCAGCAGTTTTTGACTATTCCAACTGCGAATTCTTATTCAAATTCTTTTTAATTCTTTTTTTTTCTTTTAATTTTTTTTTTTCATTGAAAATTGTTTTTACTCTTCGCCGGAAATTTACTCACTGGACTCATTATTATGCGCAGCACGCTATTATTTTATTACCGAGATTACTGTATATTTTGTCTGAACAATTCATTGTTGTTGTTTTTTATGTCCACCGAAACAAATCAAGGGCAAAAACAAGTGCGCTGTTGACAGATTGATATTATTTATATGGCAAGAAGGTGTCACACAGAGATCACTGCAGCCACTAACCGACCAAAAAACAATTCAAATAATAGACCACTTGCAAGCCTACATTTGTACATATATGTATATAGATGTATGTATAACGGTTTATATAATATACATATGAGCAGGCGTGCGTTGTCAATTGGTATGACTAAAGAGCCGTTAGGACCGATGAATTGATTCGGTGAATGTGCGGCGAACCATGGCTGACACGCTGTGTGTGGTGAGCGCTCGCCGTTGACGGACATGTATGTATGTGCGCCAGCGCAGCGCTAACACTGCCCATAGCTTGAAAAGTTAATTGTTTTGCATTGATAGCACATAAAACAAGCGCGACTGAAAGCAATTGAAGGTGTTCATTTGAAAATGAGTGTGGGAATTTCAGCGTTTCGCGTTTCGCGCTTGGAGTGACTGATGTTTCACTTCATTGTTGTTGTTTTTCACATTTACAGCTTTGACATGCAACGCTGTGCAAATCTGCATACATATCTACATACAGCAACAATAATAAAATGTGTGTGTTGACTTACCAATAATGGCGTGGACCCGCACGCTCAGCTGTGTCCGCACTACCAATGAGTTTTTGCGACTGTAAACGGCGTGAATGGAAGAGGAAGAGAGAGAAAAAAAACGAAATTGTTAATTAAAATTGTAAACAAATTAATCAAAAAAAAAAAAAAAACAACAACAATAAAATTTATTATAAAAAACCAACTCTACGCATAGAAATTGTAGCCGCGAATTTGCAACAACCTTAGAATTACAACAACAGGCATTACAGATTTACAGGTGTGTCTGCTTCACAGCAATGAAAGAAAAATGAAATAATAATAGAAAATACAAAGTAACTTGCCTCTAACCAGCTTTACGGTAACAAATCGGTCAACATAATAGTTAATTGGCAAGTGCTATGTCCCCTTGCCGATTACTTACTTCCCTCCTTTGAGCCCATTGAATGTGGTTCAATGACCATTTAAGAATATCGATTGCAGAATTATAATTCTATGCGGCTTACTCAGCGCAAAGCTATGGCAAGGTGTTATGGGCGAATTGTTGTATGAAATTAATAAAACACGCGAATGGAGAAATCAAATCACTTGAATAAACAAAGACATATGCTCGGTTTAATAGCTGTTGTTGTCTTCATACCGGCACTCATAATCTTATCTTTTAGTAGAGCTTAAAGCTCGATATATCTTTACATATTTAACATTAAAGTTGGAATGCAGAGCATAAGCAAGTTGGGAAAAGTTTACTCTTTCGACAAAAGCCCCATATCTCCAGTATATTTTGTTTCCTCTGAAAAAAGTTCCGGATATCCAAAGTTTGCTTTTGTCTCGCCAATTCTTGAAATATATTTATATCGATTGTGTCCATCATATATGAAGTACTAAGCCCCATTAATCTACTTACTAGTTCTCTCCAGCGGACATTGGGTTGAATTTGCCCGTGGTAAGTTATGACTGTCGTAAAAGGCGAGGAAACTGTCTGCTATATGTCTTTTTATTTTAGCCTGCCTCGAACTTTCAGCATAATCTTGTCAAAAATAGTGCTATAATACTCAACTTGATTTGATCTTATAGACTTTGAAAGAGATTACTTTTAATGAAAAGACATTTGAAGTTCAAGCGGCAAACGTCACCAGTTATTGAGTTTGATTGGTGCTCAACTGGTAGTAGCAAAACTGACTGACCGGACTCTTAAATCTGGTCCCACGGGTAGCAGTTAGACCTTGGAGTTCGCTGTAATCTACTCATTGGATTTAATCTTTCGGGATGTTCATGGTAGCTGTGGTTTAAACCTAAAGGCAGGTAGAAGTGAAAAATTCGATTCAGTGTGGAGTCGCACTGCAGCCGGGTGCCGGACCCACAGTGGACGCCTGGAACCCGACCAAGGTGGAAAAGGTGTATCTCCCACCCGACCAATTGGAACCAAAAAATATGTGCAAAAGCATGTATTATTTGGGGCGTTGATCAACGCTATGCGCCATCGACGGCAGGTACTCACGTAAGTCATTACAGTTGTTGATCTACTAGTTCTATATATGGGGTATCAGATATATTTCTATAATTCTTCTTGACTTTCTTTCACTCTGCCGTTAATCCTCGCAACTGCTTATAAAGCAATCATTCGTACCCAAGAAGACTACCTTGCATCTTTCACTCCACCAATGCAATCCACATGAAACTCGCTTCATATTCAACAAGTTACCTATAATGCCTCCGCTTCTGTGGTACGACGCGTTGTGCTGCATGCATTATATTTCTTGTTGCAATTTGCATGGCGGCGGCATCTAAATGTTGTCACAGTGGTATGCCGTAATTGCTTCGTACATATGTATGCATGTATGTATATGTGTTGATGCGTTTAGAACAAGTTCAATGTTGAATGCTGTTGATCGCGAATCGCAAATCGCATTCCTCGACAAATGAGCAAATGGGCCCGTTTTACCTCCAACAGGTCTTCTGAAAAGCTTTACTATGTTTGTATGTATGTGTGTAACTATGTTCTGCTAAGCTGGTTGATTGCTTTAGCCCTTTTAAGCTAATTTCCCACACTTTGCCTACCGCAAAGATGCCACTATTCCGCGATTTCTGTCTTTATTATTCAAAAAATTCTAATGGAGACTTTGTAGATATCAGCCTGGTGGACGATACTTCAGAGTAATTACTTGAATAACAGCGAAACTAGAGAAGTGGTAAAATTAATATTGATTTTCAAATGGCATTCGGTTGACCTTTTAATTTTGAGATATCGAACTTAAATTTTGCAGACGTCCCAGCAGGCTGCTCATCTGAACACTATAGGATGTAGCCGTCATTCGAATCAGTATCAAGTTCTTGTTTGAAAAACTTGTTATTTGAAAAGAAATCGTCACGTATTTTCTAGGATAAATTCCCAAGTAACATATTATCTTACTTGATCGAAGGACGAATATTTAATCCTTTAACAATCAATGTGCGACTATGAGCAAAAAATAGTAAGAATTTGTTCATAATATAAAATTCTTAATTTATTCTTCAATCTTTGTCGTCCTCCTCGAATAACGTTTTTTTCCAATCCTCGCAACAGTTATTAAAGTAAATTTCTGAAATAGCCTTCAATTCGCGTAGCGTTTCACTATTAATGTCTCCAATTAACTCAAAACGGTTTCCCCGCAGCGCTCGCTTGAATTTGCTGAGTAGCCAGAAGTTCCACGGAGCTGAATCCGGCAAATGCAGTGGTTGCGGTTAGATATTGAGTGAAAATTCTGCGAAAAAACTCACGAAGAATACGAAAAGTTTCGCACAAACAACGAAATACACTCAAATAGTATTCCTTGTTGACAGTTTGGCCGGTCGGAAGTAATTCGGAGTGCACCACGGCGTGATAATCGAAAAAAACTGTCAACATAACCTTGATTAGTGTCATTCTTTGGTGGTTTTTTCGGCTTCGACTCAATATTGCCACGATATTCGCATATTTCCGGGTCTTAAGCATACATCCAAGACTCGTCGCCAATAATAATACATTTCATAACATCCTGGAAAGCATTGTCTCACAAACGTTAAGGCGATGATTTTTTCAAAAAAATTTAATGATTTTGAAATTAATCGAGTTTTCACTTTTCTTGGGACTAAGTAACCTTTCAAAATAATTTTCACTGATACCTTCGACATTTGAACGATGTCAGTAAGATCTTTGACCATTCATCGTCGATTCTCAAGTACCAATTTCTATTTTTAATGACGTGTTGATCATCAGTTGATGTTGATAGCCGTCCTGGAGGTGGTCCGTTGTCAACGTGTTCTCGACCCTCTTTGAATAATTTCTACAAATAACAAACATTTTCTCGCGGCAAACAATTATTACCGAATGTGTTTTCCAACATTCTGAACATTTCGGCACCAGAAATTTGATTCCGCCCAATTTAATGAAATTTATTTGTTGAATAATTTTACACATCATAAAAATCTCCGAATACACTTCAAGTACTTAAAAAACGAAAGCGTATACTAAACAATAATGATTCAAGTATTACTATTTTTTGGCCACAGTAGTATTCTTGATCTTTTCGACTATATGATTTATCAGATAATAAAAGAAAACATTCAGTAATAAGACAAATGGCAAGAATCCGATTTAAATTGATATTAAAAAGGTCTTTACGCCTTTTTGATGTGGATTAACTGGAATTATATAGCTTAAAACTAAACTAACAGCATCATTCGTCATTGAGAGCATCTAATAGGAAAGCAAAGGACTATTTTATGGATATGATAGAACCGAACTTACGTGAGGAATTTTATGGATAACGAAAAGTTAATTAGAACTTTAGAAACTGTGACACTTCGCATTTGCAAGGTTTGTCTGGACTTTCATTGATAAGTTAACTTCCATATAGTCTATACATTAAAAGTTGGGTGTGCAAGGAGTTGTCAGGTTGAAGAATTTAAGATTTCAGTCGAGTCGATCCATAACTAATTAAATGAGCTCTTCGTTAAATATAACGGCATTCATATACACATATATTTAATGTGCTTCAGCAAAGAAGAGAAATTCGTGCCAGCAGGTAATTTATTCCACTTGCGGACACTTTTACCAACTAATTATTAATATTTTCCCCCCATCTTTTGCTTTTGTTGTTTTATTTTTGTCCACCATTCAGCGGTTATTAAAAACCGATCGCTTTTCTTTGCACTTTTAAGCAAACGCTTCCACTGCTGCGCATTTAACGACAATAAATTAACAAGTGAAAGGCCAAGAAGACACAACGGCGTCATCTTACTGAAGTGGCGAATTTCGAATGGCCACATGCAACAAGCAGCGAACAGCCGCAGTTGGCCACGACACAAAAAACACCCACATATCGGTGTATATGCATGTAAATATGTGGATATCTTTCGTAAAGAGGCAAACACAAGGCGGTTTGTGATTATTTTTGTCTGCTGCGCCGCTTGGATGTGCCCCAGAAACCCAGTGAAACCCAACAATGCGCCGTTGTGTTCAACGTCAATTGTCAACTGGCAACCGCAGAGCCCGCGCCGCAGCCATCCTATCAAATGGCAGGAACACCGTTGTTGTTGGGCCGTTTGGACAAAGGCTCTCCTACCTGGCAGCGCCTACACAGCGGGTTAGTTACAGCTTGTGATTTGCTTGTTTTGTTGCAGTCTGCACAGTTAGAGTGCTTACTTGTTCGTTGCATTGTTGTTGCCTTTATATATATGTATATATA